GTTAAAATCTTAGTTCTATCACAGATTAACCATTTAATATTGACTGTTGCCAAACTTATTTTCTTTCTTTTTTGAGATAAGAGTCTTGCTTTCTTGCCCAGGCTGGAGTGGGTGATATGATCATAGACTTACTGCAGCCTCGACCTCTTAGGCTCAAATGATCCTCCTCCCTCAGCCTCCCAAGTATCTGGGAGTACAGGTGTGCACCACCATTCTCAGCTACTTAAATTTTTTTTTTTTGTAGAGACTAGGTCTTACAGTGTTGCCAAGGCTTGTCTCAAACTCCTGTACTCAAGGAATCCTCTCACCTCAGCCTCCCAAAGTGCTGGTATTATAGGCAAGAGCCATTGTTCCAGGCCCAATGTCTTGTAAAGTTTCTTTATTTTAAATTGGAGATAATACTAGCTACTTGATAAGATCATTGAAAGGATTAAATGAGTGACTACTATGCTAATTTTCTCTTAACTGCTGAATGAAACCTTTAAAATGTGGAACATGTTTGTGAGGATTTTCACTACCAGTATCTGTTTACAATAGTGCCATTCCTATTTTCACTAAAGGATTAACTACCAGTGTTCACTACAGTATACTCATAAAAATTATATGTAAAGTGTGGAAACCCACATTCCCTTTCTTCTCACCAGGGCACTGTTTTACAGTTAGTTTGCATACCAACATAGGATAGGTGGCTCTGTGAATTATATAATATAGTGTAGACCACTCAATTTTAATAAACACGTACAACTTCTAAAACATAGTTTTCATGGAATTCTAAAATTGTATTTGAACAGTTGTAGTGACATGTAGGCCATATTAATTAGGTCACTGAAGTTTTAGATTTCTTAGATTGCATTTCATTTTTAATTAGGTTCAGTGAACTTCCTCCATGCTTCCAAAGACCCTAGACCCATCGTGTGGGCTTCATTATCTAATAGGAAGTTAAATTGAGTTTAGGGTTGGGAAACAATACATTACATATAGCAAATATCTGTTGGAACATAACATTCACAGATTGTCAGGCCAAATGCTGGGCTATTTTATAAGCTACAATGAGGTGTATGGCTTATTCTTTTAGATTCTAGTGTATAATTCTTGAAGAACTTCAGGATGTTAGCATTAATAGTTATGATATATTGAATTCCACTATATACATAGAGTAGAAAATGAGGCTCAGAAAGGTTCATTGATTTACTTAAGTTTATATAGTTTATAAATAGGAATCTGGCTTTGTCTCATTCTAAGCTCTATTCTGTAAATAGTAGCAAAACAAAGCATTAACCTATATTAAAGAAAATTTTATATTAACATGAGAACATAATGGAAATGTTAGTTGTATGGCAATTTTCATCTGGCTGGGAAATACTGTTCACAACTATCAGGATTCTCTTTTTATACTCAAACCCTGTCACTTGGCCTGCCTTCTGAGAAGCAGTACAGATTTTGCTAAAAACCTTCTCTTAATCTACTAATCCTTGGGCCTATCATGGTTAAATTGCTGGGAAATGATGGCAGGCAGTATGCTGCCAATTCAAAGTGAACTTTAAAGTCCTATAGCCCCTCCCTTACACCCTCAATGATGAGACAACAGAGGGCATGTAATTATAATAGCAGTTTAAAGCCATTTATCTTCTATAATCTGATAGCTAAGAAAAGAACATCAAAACTAAATTTTCTTGAAACTGGAAGCTTCTTATATGATTAAAATGTACCACCTGCTTTATAACCGAAAGAGCAACTGCCCTCTAAATGGAAACCTGATTTTATAAGAGTGGTAATATGCATAGTACGATGCAAACATGGTTCTCTCTTCACATTGGATATTTTGTAAATATTTTGAGTTTTTTGGTGTGGTTTATAAAGGTTTATTTGATTTAAGAATATATTGCAATATTTGTTTAAAATAGTGTGGCTTTAGGATCTCATTCTTTTAATGAAGTATTTGTTTTAAAAAAGGCTATAACAAATAAATGAAACTGTAACCTAAGAAATATTGTTTTAGGCATTGACTACAAACTTTAACTTTTGAGTTTAGAATCCTCTGTTGTACTGTGCAGGGCTATAATGTCTGAAATTTTAACACCAAGGTATTGTATGGTATTACAATTCTTTCTTGCTGAAAGAATTACCAAATTTTAACACCTTCGTAAAGGCCTAAAAATAGCCTTTTATGAAGACTCATAAGCACAGAATGGGCAAATTCATGTTCTTATATTTATTTGGTGAATATAAGCCTATTTTTCAAAATTATCCAATTGTTATTACCTTGGTCATTTATTTTCCATATCACTGGAGTCAGATTAGCATGTTTCTGAATGCACAAGTGTACATAATTATTTAACAACTTTTTAAGTGAATGATAAGCTTCTTGAAGTTAGGTATTGTCTTATTCATCTTTGTATGCCATACAATACCTCGCCGAATGAATTCATTATCAAAATATACGTTAGTAATCTAACACACACCCCACCCAATATTTAATGAATGCTCACTAAATAAAATGAATTCATGTCAGTCCTATCAGGTAGGTTCTGTTATTGTCTTTATTTTCTAGATGAGAAAATTCAAGCTTATTTGGATGTTTCTCTCTTAAGAATTTTGTAGTTGAGTATTCTTTTGTTTATTGATAAAGCCTTATATTATTTCTAGAACTTAACCCTACAGAATATAAAAATCTTATATTATACTCTTAGTATAAGGTGCTCATCATACAGTTCAACAAGACAGTCTTCAATCTGTTCGTGATTTTTACTTTTCAGGCAAGGTTTCATAATGAGGATACAAAATAAATGCAAGACAAGTCTATGTTTGTATTTTGTAGTGTATTGGTGATAAACTGTGTTGAATTTTTGCTGGTGATAATATTCTACTGGTAGTTTAATTGTAGAATTTACAGATGAGAGTTTTAAGCCAGTGTCATCAGCAGAGACGTCACTATAGCTTTGATATATGGCCTTAAATTTGGGCAGGTATCAAGTTTTTTATGTATAAAAAGAAGTTGGACTAAATCTCTACAAATCCTTTATTATGCTTTCAAGATATAATTGGAGCTATGAAAGAGGATTAAGACCACCAAAAGGAAAAAGTACAAAGAGATACGAGAAAGACAAGGACTGAGTTTTGAGTATTAACAATGCCTGTCTTTGAAATGATAGGAACTCATGACAATGAACTGATGTGGAAAACAAGGAAAGTTTCTGAAGATGTGCTTAATAAGATTGAAGAGAAAAAAAGCTCTAAGAAAGATCATAGTAAACCATACAGAACATTTCTACCCTAAAATGTTGTGGGAACCTAATAGTAGGGAGATAAAAGATAATATATGAAAAACCCTTGGCACTGAACTTCAGGATATTACTTCCCATTCTCTGTGATTCATTTCTCATTCAAGTATCATTTGTGTCCTCCTGACATTTCAGTGGTACTTCATTGCTCCAACATTTTTTGCAATACTTGTAATTTCCCTGAGAGGCTATTTACAAACCACACAAAAGAAATTAAAACTTTGTAACCTATCATTACTATTCTTAATAAATTACCCAAATCTGCATTGTCTTAGTCACTCACCTTGTACTCAGAATTTGGCTCTGAATGAATTTTGGCTGTTTTCAGCAATCAGACTCAACCTCAAAAGATGAAGATTTGCTCTCATTTTCAGATAGTAGAATCCAACAGAAGTAAAGAATTGAAAGAGCACAGCATTTGAGAATTGCTATATGGTCCATGTTCTTCTATTAAGTAGATGTATACCTGTGTTTAAGTTCTATTTGAAATGGCTTAATTCATAATGACACAATTATGTATTTTGAAAGTGTATGATTTTATTTTAACTAGGCTCTGAAAGTTATAATTCTGTCTACAATAATGAATCTTTGAAAATTTTGTTCATTTTTTTAAAAAGTAGAAAAAACATTCTTAGTAACTATACCTAAGCTACCTAAAGAAAATTTAATTCTATATTTTTATATAAATATGTGCAATATATTAATGTATTCCCATTTTGATAGTATTATGTTTAACTAATGGTCTACTGGCTTATTCTTAGTTGGGGAACAGCATTTGAAATAACAGCTTTCAATTAATTGATTAAACCTTTTGTTAAGTTTTGTTAACAGATGTTGGTTGATCATATAGATTTTTGCATGGCATAACTTGCTCAGTGTCACTAATTAACATGCAACTTGCTAATAAAAAAGCTAAAATTTTTAGTTTGTAGTTCGAAAGCACAAAAACAGAAAATACCCTGACTAGAAATCATCAAAATATCATTCTACTGTATTTAGTTAAAAACAAACAAAAATGAATGCCTTACTTAGAGCCAAAAATAAAAACAAGGGGTGAATATATGAAATTTTACAATATACCAAAATAAATTAATGTAACTGAGGGATGATGGGTACCACTAGACAGTTTTTGATGTTGTAAATACATGTTCTTTGTGCTTATTCTAAATATTATACACCGTCTCCCACCTATCTGAAGAATAGCTATTTTTATATTAATAATACAGATCTCAGTAAATATAAGGATTATTAGGATTTAGGATATATTGAATTATAAAGCAACATATTTAGGTTTATACTTTTGGGAAATTAACTTTAGCAGTGAAATAATCCTGATTAAATTTCATAGTAAATCAAATGTGTATTATTTAATCTAACTACTAGTGGGAATCTGGCCCCAGAAACAAATAGTTAGAATATCTGATTTTTTTTTTTTTAAATCACAGCACTATGTTTAGCAAAGAAATGGAGTATAAACATTTATGGCATTCTTTGCTAGAGGTCACCATTCTAAAGTGCTATACACATTCTAAAGTGGTATAGTTATAACCAGCTATTTATTCTGGCAGTCTTTTATGTCTTTGGAATAGGACTGAAAGCCTCAGAATATATCTAAGGACTTTTTGTGTAATTTCCCTTTCTTTTCCAGCCCTTCTATATTTTCATAATGAATAGAAGATGGTTATGTAAATCACTGTCACTGCAGAAAGAGAAACTTACCTTGGCTTGTGGTAACTTGCAGCCTGGAACTTAACTTTTCCTCAGCAGGAGGTGCTGGAGAGATAAAAGGATTAATAGTTTCTCTTAATATGCTTTCGGAGAGCCTCATTACTGCTCTTTACTTTTTTAACTGTTTATAATAGCAGTGAAAGGATAGGAATATTTAAAACAATGTCAGTGTGGGTTGTAAGAATATGGGAGAAAAAAAGAATTTGGATATTTTTGGTTGTTATTTTAGTTTTATGAAGGGAGGACAAAATAAGTAAAACCAGTCTTAACTACACCAACAGAAAATTTCCGTAGTTGCCAGTACTATTTGCGGATATAATCTGAAACTGCAAAGGTGGCAAAGATGATTGTGTCTTGCTCTTTTCAAAAATGTGTTTCCATTTCTTATACTGTGTTCTCAAATATAGCTGTCTAAAAATCAAAAATGTAATTTTCAGGATCGAAAATGCACCCTTATGCTGTGTGGATATACATTTGTTGATATACTTATTTCTGGTCAATTCTGAAGTGGATCTCAGCTCCCCTTAGATTAACTATAGACTTGCTTTCTTCTTCCCACACAACTCCCTCATTTATATTCAACTGCAACCATTGGGCCCAGAAAGGTTACTAGAAGTTTGTTGAGTATGGCGGATGAAGTAATTTAATATAGCTATTCCCTGGACATGATGATGGTAGAGTGCTTATTATGTGTCAGGCACTGTTTCAAGTCCTTTCTTCACAACAAACCTATGAAATAAAAACTGTTATTCCATTCTGTGTATAAAGAAACAGTGGAATAGTGGTGACCTTGTCAAGATTGTTATTGGGTTAGGTTTATTAGCTGTGTTGTTTACCCATAAGGAGGGAATAATAGTATATAAAGTAAAATTGATACTAAAAAAGGAGGGTTTCCTTTTTTCCCCTCAAGGAAAAAGTACATGAATCACGGTTGTATCTGAAATGCCAAGAAACTAGAAACAACCTAGATGTTCTATTGCTAAATAGTGAACAGTTATATATATAGTATTTTATATTTATATGAGAAGAAGTAATGGACTATGTTGATACCTGGAAAGATGCATTAAAAATAGTAGGTTAAAAATTCACAGATTTATACCCACAATGGCAATTATAAATGTATTTCTAGTAATAGAACTTTGATAAGCTGACAAAGGGTCAACAGAATGAGGAGTATAAGGTGACAAATGTCTTGAAAAGTAATGATGGCCAGTTGGATAATGAAAACAGTAAATTTTAAGAAGACTAGGGATTACAATATAATTTTAAGAAGAAAGTGAATTTAAATTCTCTTCCAAGTGACACTCTCCAAGATGAAATATCTGTCCTGTGTTAAATGTTCCAGAAGACCTTCAGGAACACAACTAAGTGCTCTAGAAATGGAAATTTTCAAGATAAGTTGTACAGCAGCATTTTCTCAAGTACTTTTGCATAGTTGATTTTAAAGGTTAAGAGACATTACATGTAAATAAAAGGGTAGGGAAGATAATTTGGGAAATCCTAGGGTTCATAAAATTAGATTCTTTTGTGTAGTAATCATTAGCACCTTTAATGAGCATACTCCAGGTGAGTAGGAGTGGAGGCAAAATGTGGAGTGCATCATTTCATAGACTTGTTTGCTTGAGAACATAGAACTGTTTGGCTTGGTTCTTGTTATGGAAATAGCCTCTGCAGAATATACTTTGGGAAACATTGGAATGTTATTTGGAGGTATCTGTGAGCAGGCCTGAGGCATGGATGTGTGGCTGTGGGTGGGTATGTAGCTCGAGGAATGATACGTTAAATGTTCCACAGTCAGGGACAATGGGATGTCTTCTGGAACCATACATATTTTGTTTTACTTTATTTATATTTTCCCCTCTTTTCATATTTTGCTTTTGAATAAAAATTCATGAAAACAAATTCACTAAAAGTAATCTTTGTTTTTAATATCTTAAGTATGCTGTATGGGGAGAAGTCAAACTTGAGAATCTGCACTTGATTTGCTTTTAGTCTGGAAGGATAACAAAAACACCATGCAGCTCTTGGCTGGTTTTAAGGAACTGGCAGAAGATTATATTTGCATTTAAGTATAACCTGCTGGTGTTCTCCACATACTTGTCTTCCACACATTCTTTAGCACCAAAACTCATGTCAACATTGCTTACAAACTGTACAAGATGCCATTTTCTGTCCTTAGTTTACTGGACCACTTTGCACCATTGAGCTCAGTTGTCTGTTACTTCCCTGAAAAACATTCTTCTCTCTCCGTTTCTGTGACGTTGCACTCAGCTATTTTCTTCCTCCTCTCTGGCTGTTACTTTGTAGTTTGCTTTGCAGGTTCATCTTCCTCTGCTGACTTCTGAATGTTTTACACTGAGGGCTAAGTTTTGGACCTTGTTTTCTTCTTCTATGCTTTCTTCCTAGGTGATGTCCTTTAGTCTTGTGGCTCTCTCTGAATACCAGCTGCATGGTGATAACTCCCAAATCTATTTTCTTCAGCCAAAAACTAACCATTGTTTTCAGGTCATAGATACCTAACTGCTGTACACTTAAATGTTGTCTCACACATATGTCAAACTTAATGTCTCCAAACAAAATTTTTAGTACTCCTCTTCACTTTCCAATTCATTCATTTTTTAAAAAGTTATGCTTATTAATTTTTTTGTGTATGTATGGGTACATAGTAGGTGTCTACATTTATGGGGTACATGAGATATCTTGATACAGGTATATAGTACATAATAATCACATCAGGGTAAATGGGTATCTACCATGCCACTCTTTCTGTGTTAATGATACTACCATCCACCAAGAGTTTTCCTCTTCAATCTCTATTTTTTCTGCTTTAATCTACCCTGCCACCACTGTCATCCAGGTCACCAAAATCTCTAACTTGCATTACTATAATTTACTTTTACCTGAACTCCCCTTCTTAGCTCCCCTTAGTCTTTTTTTCTTTTTGAGATGGAGTTTCACTCTTTCACACAGACTGCAGTGCAGTGGCATGAACTTGGCTTACTGCAACCTCCACCTTCTGGGTTCAAGTGAGTCCTACCTCAGCCTCCCCAGTAGCTGGGATTACAGGCGCCTGCCACCATGCCTGGCTAATTTTTGTATTTTTAGTAGAGACGGGGTTTCACCATGTTGGCCAGGTTGGTCTCAAACTCCTGACCTCGTGATCTGCCCACCTTGGCCTCCCAAAGTGCTGGGATTATAGGTGTGAGCCACCTTGCCAGGCCCCCTTAGTCTTTTTTCTATAGAGCAGTCATTTTTTAAAAAATGTAAACCTAATCATGACACCCATTTTAATAATAGCTTTCCATTATACACTGAATTTTGAATAAAATCGATGCTGGCTATCATGGCCTTAAAGGACCTTCACAGTCTGGCCTTTTCCAGTCTTCCTTACCTTATGTTGTACTTTATCATCGCTTGCTCACTATGCTCCAGGCACACTGGCCTATTTTCAGCTCCTTAAATATGCCTTCATATATACCATTGCTTTTATGGGAAGCAAGCTTCCAGCTTATCCTTTGCATGGCTGGCTCTTTTGCATTGTTTAGTCCTAACTGTCATCTTAGGGAGGTCTTGACCAACTGTCCAGAGTAGGTTTATGTGCCCATTCCCTGCTTTCCTTTATTTCAGAGCACTAGTCACAATTTGCGTTTACTTACAACCTCTGATTGTAAACCCCTGAAAGCGGAAGCCATGTTTCTTTTACTCACCAATGTATGTATAATCAGTGTATAGCAAAGTGTCGTATATTTCTTTTGTTGAATGAACTCAGAAAATGAAATGACTGGATGGATTCTGAGCTAAAAACATCTCCAGAGGGTTTAGATTTGTTCTTAAAGGCACATTTTAATGTAATGTATAGGTATTATAATTAAAAGAAGACATAGCATCCAGAGAAGGCAGATGTCCTTGGTGCAATCTCCATTTAGTATCTGGTCCTTAGCTTTGATCAGGCCATTCATGCTAACTCAACAAAAGATACTCACTTATAAAAAATAGAATGCTGTTTTTTAAAAAAATAATCAAATATATAACTGAGCAGGCAGGCTGTTCACGCTTGTTAATCTCTATGGGAAAACTTTATAAGAGTTGAAATATAAGCAGAAGGTGTTTGGTGAATGTGGGATCTGATCTTTCAGAATTAAAATAATCTTATTTTGGTGGTAGGGTGAAGAAAATTTGCTAGTCTATCACATTCTGGGTGCTATAAAGAAAATTTGGCTTTTAGCAAGGGTATGATAAGGAGACAGTGTGTGGGTCCAGTTATGAGTAAGTCTGTCCACATTAAGATTTAACCATCTACTTGAGGTCAAATGTATTCTCTAAGTCTAATGACAAAGAATTGACATTATTCTTTCCTTTAAGGGAACTGGTATGAGGAATTTGTAATGCCATGGGTAATACATATTAACATTTAGTGCAAGAGGATTCTGAAATGCACTGGAGTGCTGTAATAATTTTTCTTTGAACTTGCAGGTTCTCCTGAAAAGAAAGCTGAACATTCATCTATAAATCAAGAAAATGGCACTGCAAACCCTATCAAGAACAGTAAAACAAGTCCAGTATCTAAAGATCAGCGGACTGGAAAGAAAACCTCAGTACAGGGTCAAGTGCAAAAGGGGAATGATGAATCTGAAAGTGATTTTGAATCAGATCCCCCTTCTCCTAAGAGCAGTGAAGAGGAAGAGCAAGACGATGAAGAAGTTCTTCAGGGAGAACAAGGAGATTTTAATGATGATGATACTGAACCAGAAAATCTGGGTCATAGGCCTCTCCTCATGGATTCTGAAGATGAGGAAGAAGAGGAGAAACATAGCTCTGATTCTGATTATGAGCAGGCTAAAGCAAAGTACAGTGACATGAGCCCTGTTTTCAGAGACAAATCTGGCAGTGGACTAAACCAAGATCTTAATACAATACTCCTCACCTCAGCTCAATTATCCTCTGATGTTGGAGTGCAGACTCCCAAACAGGAGTTTGATGTATTTGGCGCTGTCCCCTTTGCAGTGCATGCTCAACAGCCCCAGCAAGAAAAGCATGAAAAGAGCCTTCCTCAACACAGGTTTCCTGCTGTGGGACTTGAGCAGGAGGAATTTGATGTATTCACAAAAGCGCCTTTTAGCAAGAAGGTGAATGTACAAGAATGCCATGCAGTGGGGCCTGAGTCACATACTCTCCCTGGATATCCCAAAAGCGTAGATGTATTTGGCTCCACTCCATTTCAGCCCTTCCTCACATCAACAAGTAAAAGTGAAAGCAATGAGGACCTTTTTGGGCTTGTGCCCTTTGAGGAAATAACAGGGAGCCAGCAGCAAAAAGTCAAACAGCGGAGCTTACAGAAACTGTCCTCTCGCCAAAGGCGCACAAAGCAGGATATGTCTAAAAGTAATGGGAAGCGGCATCATGGCACACCAACTAGCACAAAGAAGACTCTGAAGCCTACCTACCGCACTCCAGAGAGGGCTCGCAGGCACAAAAAAGTGGGCCGCCGAGACTCTCAAAGCAGCAATGAATTTTTAACCATCTCAGACTCCAAGGAGAACATTAGTGTTGCATTAACTGATGGGAAAGATAGGGGGACTGTCTTACAACCCGAGGAGAGCCTGTTGGACCCCTTTGGTGCCAAGCCCTTTCATTCTCCAGACCTGTCATGGCACCCTCCACATCAGGGCCTGAGCGACATCCGTGCTGATCACAATACCGTCCTGCCTGGGCGGCCAAGACAAAATTCACTACATGGGTCATTCCATAGTGCAGACGTATTGAAAATGGATGATTTTGGTGCCGTGCCCTTTACAGAACTTGTGGTGCAAAGCATCACTCCACATCAGTCCCAACAGTCCCAACCAGTCGAATTAGACCCATTTGGTGCTGCTCCATTTCCTTCTAAACAGTAGATACTTCTGATGGATTCTTGGCATTAACTCCTGTTTCAAAAAAGTATGAATAGTTTTATGAATTTGAAAGACAATTTGATAGTTCTTTTTATCATTCTTAAAGATCAATCAGAATAGGTGATTTTTAAATAAACCAAATAGAAAAATGAAGTATCTCTACAGGGTAGTAACGATGCCTCTTCCAAGCAGGAGAAAAAAGAGCTAAATTGCAAGCTCTAACTAAGGATTTCTGCTACTGACATCACGACACAGAAATGCAAGTGTGGTACTTCCACTGAAAGTACACCTTTCCAGGTGTGTAGCCACTGAGAAGGGACAGTAAAACTGTTATTTTTGATACCAGAATGTCATTTTTGTGTGCATATCCCTAAAATTAGGGTTATTTGTACATATACTAGTTATGCTTGTGAATTCTTTTTAAGGTCTCTTCTAATTTCCACACAGTTAAAATCAATCTAGTTCTCTTAAAGCATTAGAAAGTTATTATCTGGAGAGTGCAGAGATTTCAGTCCATACACCTTTCTCCACAAAGCAGAGCCAGAAGTAACTGACAATTGTGCCTAAAACTCTGTTTCATTGTAAAAAACAAGTGCCATTAATATGGAATATGTAGATAAACATATGAAATAATGTTTATGTTAATTAGCTCAATTTAGCTGTTTCACAATTTACATATTTCAAAACAATGTTATACATTATATATATATAATTTTTGTCAAAACAAATTTTAAGAACGGACTATGGCATAGAAGCCTGGAACAAAAATAGAAAGAGAAATATCTGACATTTGAAAGGAAATAAGAAAAAATTATATAGAAGAAAAAACATTCACTACTCTAGATAAACACTTTATATTGCTTATGAATGGCTTCTTGCCCCAAACTTTTATTATGGCCCTAATAAAGCAGATTATTGGAAAAAAAATAGGGAGTAAGGACAAGGGTTATATAAAAATTTTATTTTAGGAAAAATGTAGCAGAAACGGAATTTTCAAAACATGTACAATGTGAAATCATGTTGCATTTAATAAAGTACTTTATTAGCAACTTCACCAAATATTCCCCAAGTCATAAGCAACAATTATTTTTATTAGGTTTGGGGAGTGTAGTAGTTTCAATAGAGTGCACAGAATGGTGACACCCACAAAGCCTTATAGGCAGGATTCATGCATCCTGCTGCAAGTACCTCTGCACTAATAAACCAGATCCTAAAATGCATATAAGGTGGACTAGCATCTTAACTCTGCTAGTTGATTATGTCTTTACTGAAAAGAACCCAGCTACCAATTTGCCTTTTTTTACACCACAAATCCTAATTAGAAACTTGAGATTTTATAGAAATTATTTAATGATAGAGATTACATGTGAATTAATGTGAATATAGTATCTGTGCTTCCTGTGTCTATAACTATTTTAAGTTATAATTAACTGTGCTGCGCTATCAGATTAACATTTGGAAGTTTCTAGAACAGTTAATACTATTTACAGAAAGGAGAAATTCATCAACTGCCATGCTCTTTGAGTTTTATATTTTAAATTAACTCTCTTTGAACCCAATTAAAGTATATTTTATGAGTAATTTTATTAGGAATCTCTTAATTATAGTGCCCCAATGGGATAAGCTATTTGCCTATTTTCACAGTTCTGAACTTGGAAAGAAGCAAAGTATATGTAACTAAACCACATATTTGTCTTTTTATTGCTTCTTTTCCTTCTTTTAAATGCTAACTCAAATACAAATTTGTGGATAGGGAAGCAATAAGTGAATCACAATGTAGCAGAGGCAGACCAAGCAATACATTATTACTTAGAGTTGTACTTTTAGGCAGGACTGCACGAATTACTTGTCCTTGTGCCAAAGGCAAATAATGTTTGCACCCTTTTTTTTTTATTCTCAGGTTGATGAGAATGCAAATGCTCAAGTAGATGTTTAAAAACTACAAAATAGGTTTAAGTGATACTTTCTATTAAAAGTGAGGAGTTGATGATTACACGTATAAATTCATGAACTACAGTAGGTTTGTATCAAACAATAATTTTTTAAAATGAAAATCTGTTGAGGTATACACAATATGCTTCTTGATTGTATTAGTCCTTGGTCTGTGCTAGATGGCATGAGTTTCATCACTTAGAAAAGGGGTAGAGGATAAACTAATGTGGTATCCTTCAGATGTAAACAGGAAAGACATATATTTTTACTTGCTTTTCAATACACTGAATAATTTTAAATGATTCAGACACTGATGTAGACGCTTTGGCTTATAATGTTGGATAAATTCTGAGGAAACAACTCTGACAGCTTAAAATATTTACATTCTTATAACACAGCACAGTGACTTTCTTTCAAGATTGTAGCTCAGAGAAAAGATAAAGGATTAAATTGGGGGTTCAATGGGATAGAAATGGAGAGATTCCTTTGTGTTGAAGTAGAGGCATTTAACTAAGGAGTATAGATTTATACTTTGCATTTTCATTCATCATCCCCCAGAATCATGGTCATGGCATAGGTCACTCCACACAGCTGATGCTCAGGGAGAAGAAAGCTCCCAAGGTATGTGAAAGTGCTTAACACCTGGCACACAGCACTCAGTAAAAGTGTGGCTCTATTAGGGGATGGTTCAATTTTGGTTTAAGGAAGGAAGGTTATATATATACCACTAAGCAAATATATATATATGGATTTTTTTCCCCTAATATTATTTGGTGTCTCCTCTGCTTCTTTAGGATGTAGTTATAACTCTAAACCTGTTATACTTGAACATCACTAAGAGAAGTAAATTATTATGAAGCTAGCAAAACTCTGAGGCCAAAGTTGTTTCCTAACAGCTTTAATAATGCTTGTTGATTTTGAATAATCCTTTAAAAAGTGGACCATTTGCTCATTTTAATATTATCACATCAGTAAAGTGTTAGTATTAAAAAGATCAGCTTTTTATGGCATTGAAGAATGTATCTGCTAAGACACAAAATTGCATGGTAAGTATATTAGGTGGAGGAGAAAAGCTTGTAGGCCAGATGAAAATTTAACTGACTAGAATATTTATTCAGGAGTGTAATTATCTTGCCCTACCCCAATCCCTGTGTATGTGTGTATTATGACTATCTGGATTTGCAAACAGACACAGCTTTTAATCCCACCCTGTTTATTGTTTAAGAATGATAGACTGTTGTCCTCTTGCTAATGGAAAATCTAAGGTGGAGCTCACTTTTCTATGCTGAATTCACCAGGCAGAACGGTTTTGTTCAAGTCAGCTACTCTGCTTGGTTTACTTTAGGTTTTGGTACTTCACGTAAGCACTGTTAGAAGGTACAAGTGTATTAATATCACTAGTTTTGAGGAGCTTGGGTACATTTGTGTTTAATATATTTAGAATGTGCCGAAAACTTTTTTCTCTTTTTTTTCTTTTTAGCAAACCTATTATCATTTTAGGTCCAATTATTGAGTTGACAGTCTACTGTGAGAATGAGATGACATACCTACTGTGAGAATAACATAAATGATGAATAGTTTGACAACTTCTATACTCAGTTGTGTTTTATACATTAAGATAAAAATATGTACACACACATGCATGTCACATCTCTCTACTGTGGATTTAATGTGAATTTTTAAAAAATGGAATTGCAACCACAATCATATCTAAGAGAACATTCACTCCTAGTGAGGGTTTACAAAAGCTACTAAAAGAATAAGGTAGATGATAATGCAAAGGGTCATGATTTGGGGTTATTTTGTTTTATTTTAAAATTTATAGTGCTACTTTTGAAAGAATTGTTTTTATTACTATGCTGTTTTTATGATTGAAAAGTCATCTAATAGAAGCTGTATAGAAGCTACTTTTTAATTGCTGGCGAACAGCTTTAAGTGCACTTTCTTTGATTACACTTCCATTTTTTGTTAAACTTGAATTTTCTGAAGACTTTTATGTATCACTAAGCAAATAACTTTAACCTTTAAATAAATCAAATTTGCATCTTTATTGTATTTCTACTTGTTACAAAACATACTTGCTAAAGTAACTTCAGTTCTCAAATATAGCTGGGAAAGTTATGAGATAGACTCAGTCTCCCCTTCCCAGGCCCCCCCACCCTGCCCTATCTAATTAAGCACTAACTGATTTTATTACTTTATTGCCTTTACATTGCTTATGCTTTTTGACTGAATTCTGTCCCTGATTCACTATGTTTTGTTTGAAATTTAAAGTTATTTTCTTACTGTATTTATCATACCTGTTTTAATAATCTGTTTTCTTTAAATGCAATAAATCCCAAATGGATTGCATATTCTTTATAATCAGTGACTTTGGAGTTTTTCATTATTTGTCTTATTACAAGTTTTGGATGTAAACTTCTATTCAGATTCAGTTCTTTCATTCACACCACAAACATTAAGCTCCTATTATGTAGCAGCTAGTGGAATAGAAAAATTGGTGAGCTTCTTTTCATATTCTTAAGGAGCTCACATTTTACAATTTAGGTAAGAAAACCCATTTGACTTAAAGTTTTTGCAAGATTACTGTATAGCATGACTTTTTCAGTCACTACAATTACTGATAATGACAGTAAGGCAAAAATATTGTGTAGTGCCTTCTGAGTAACTTGTTTTGCAGCTTCCACATTATACATAATTTATTTTTTAAAAATCTTTAAAGACTGGTAACATCTTTGGTTGAATAAAATATTGGTTATTTGGTTAGGTAACATTGTAATCCTTAATTATAAAAGCAAAGAGGCTTTTATATGACACATTAAAGAGAAAACCTATTTATTGGATTGATAGACTAAGCTTGGCATTAAGGTTATAATATCTATGATTCTACAAACTGGAGTGTTTAGATTGGTGGACTGTGGAAAGATTCATTTTATTTTTATGACTGCCCTTTTTTTTGAAGTTGTAACATTCATCTAAAGTTATGTGAAAAAAAAAGCTTTTTAATGAGTGGTAGTACAAAGCAGCAAAATAACACAACAAATGATTAGAAAATTAAACAAAGAATACTTTGCAGTGTGTTACTGTTCAAATTTAGTTATAGTTAACTTATTTGAGATGAATATATGCTGCAATTTGAGCTATTTATTTTGGATAATTAATACCTTTTTTTTTTTTTTAAGATGGGGTTTCACCATGATGGCCAGGCTGGTTTTGAACTCCTGACCTCAGGTGATCCACCCACCCCTGCCTCTCAAAGTGCTAGGATTACAGGGGTGAGCCACCACGCCAGGCCCAATTAATACCTTTTTAAGGAAGCCCAGCTTAAGCATCATATGTAACACGTAGTTAATATCCTCATTGAAAGCTTGAGCTTTTGTTGTCACATACTAAAAAAGATAGTTCAGATGGTTGCCACAACTGAGGTTACATGCATATTAGGTAGTATTTTGATCTCAGATTTTACAGAGCAGGACTAGAACCTTGGCGGCTGTTCATTTCCGCTCTCTTAAGGATGGAGATTCATTTTTCACAAGAAACTCCCTATTTCTATTTCCCTATCCCTTCCAAAAATTTTTCCTTAAGGGTAGTTTCAGTTCTGGATCATTATCTCATCACTTGGGAATTCTGGTACAAAATTTCAGGGGACCATATTCGCATCTCTTCAGTGTAAACAGTTATTGTGATAATGTACATATAAGATATTTCTACCCCTACTCTAATACGTGAGCTGATTCTTTACATAGTTGGACAGAGGTAGAATTCCCAGGAATGATGATTTGGAGTAGACAGGATGATTTGGAGTAATGTAGTTCAGCAACCAGCAGAAATTCAGAGGAACAGGCTTTGCCCCTTGACATTTAATATGGGGCAAAATATAATCTAGTAGGTACCTGGCAAATGGAGAATTGTACAGTTTTATGCCAGTCAATCACAATCTTCAAATCAGATATGCTGTCCAGGCGGGATGCCAAAAGATGTGACAGACATTCCCTGAATCTTCATTCCTGATTCTAAAATATGATTTTAAAGCTATTATGTATTACAAAGAATGATAAGCAGCACTTAAAAATATTTAGTAAACCCAGTTTATTTACATAATACATATTTTGTCATGCAGCTTACTGAATTGCAGTTAGTGTAATAACAAAAAAATACAAGCACTGTCTTGCTATTTGAAAATGGCTTACTATAGAAAGACAATTGTTTCTTAAATGAGTTAACTACAACCATATAAATTGCTAGACAATTTAAAATGTAAAATCTGTAGGCAAAAAGCTTTTATAGTTCACACATTGGTAAAATTAAAACCAATCTTTTTTAGTACTATAACTAGATAGTATATTTTAATAAATCTATAAAAACAAAAATAAATATACATCATTACAAGGCTCAGATTTGTAGACAACTTTAAAACATTTTTTAATGTTAACAATGTCTTCAAAATTTTACCAGTAGTGCTGTGCACACAGTAGGTGGTCGTTAAATGCTGACTGACATACAGAAGTGTTTCTAGTTGACAGCAATCCACATTCATTCATTCCCTACTTTATAATAAATACAACATAGCAATGAAAAAAATGAGAGGATAACTTTCTTACAATAGTTAACATTTTCATAAGAAGTTGAAATGTTTACATGGAACAATTTTCCCTACAGAAAGACTGTATACCTTTCAAATTTAAACAGTGATTTAAAAACACAGAATGCTCTTTTTATGTATTAATTCAGATGGCAAGCATTAATTTATATAACAAACAGGGATTGGAAAAATTAAAATTGAAATAAGGTTCAACTTTATTTTGAGAAAATGTTATAATAAAAATGGCTCCATAACTAAAATAATGCCTTTCCCTCATTTTTAACTTAATTATAACTACTCAGTGTTTTTTGTTTGGCCAAAATGACAAAATATCTATTTAAAGGCAATAAAATCATGTAAACCAGTAAGGGATGTTCCAGGGGAAATATATCCTATTACCATTGCACCAAAAGCTTCTGTCATTTAGCATATGGTCAAATTTTTAACCGTAGAAGGTAAAATAGCCATTTTCCAAGCAGCATTCTATCATAATGATGGGTAAGACACAGTATTCCTTACTGAGCCAGTTGGGGGGAAATTCTCTTTGCTGAGATATTAGCATGGGGAATTTATATTCCAAAAACACTATACTGGAAAAAAACCACAGCATTTTACTGATGTATTAATTGAGGCACATTAAAGTAACTTTTCAAATACTCTATGTACAAAAGGCATTTTGGGAATAAGTTTCATCATCAATCAACATTTTTTTTCTGATATTCAGTAATTTTACTTTTCTGAAAATACACCAGTATTTAAAACAGCTCATGTCAACTCATTAAGAAACTTGGGTAATACTTTATATTCCAATAAACAATGTAAGTTTTTATGAACGTCTGCTTTAAGGTATTTAATGCATATGAAAGACCAAAGAACAAGAGGGCTACAGTGTATGGTAGGGCAGTGAGATCTATTTTTTACAATACAGAGAAAGTTTAAAGCTTCAGGTCCAAATATTAAGTGTTCATCAAGATTCTGAGTTATCAATGCAATGCTAACACATGCAGAAACTGAGGACTAGAGCACAGGTGATAACCATATTATCAAATGGGGCATCTGCATGACTTTGTTCTAAGGCTTAAGGTTCATTTCAGGGTCAAGACAGGGCCATCTAGATTCTATGGCCTTAAAAGTAGCACCCATACAGCTGGGAACCCCCATCACTGGGATATTCAGGACTATAAATTCAGAGAGTTGAAAGCTCTCTGGAATTTTGGGATTAAAAAACCTTCTGTAATCCACTCACAAGAATTCAGTTGTTACATGGAATTAAATAACATCTGGAATTAAAATGTTTAGGTGGCTAATGACTATTTTATTTGACCATATAATTTGTTGTCTAATCCTGTATTTGGTTTCTAATGTGAATCTTATCTGATAGGAAATGACAGATTCTTTTCCTCTTCTCAACCCTTCTCTCAACTTACAGAAGTTTAAAGCTTTTGTTCTGGAAAACTAAAATATCTAATGTTCTTAGGGAGCGGAGAACCTATAGCTAAACGATGTAATATCAGAAGTGCCAGTGTCTCACAAATCATGTACGTAAAGGCTAGTGATTATTTAAAATCACTATCCTAGCTTGTATTAAGCATAGCCTGAAATAACCCTTGCCTTGATTAGGCACTTAAACTTGATAATTTACTGAAAATAGTTAAGCACATAGGATGACTCCATTTTCTAATGGAGATGAGCCCTTCCTAAGGAAATTAAGCTGGTGCTAAGTAAAATGAATCCTATTTCTACACTAGTTTCTCATTCATTATTGTTATTCAGATGTTTCATATGATTGCCAACTAATTTTCACTTTCTGTACAAGCAGCAAATTAATAGTTTTAAGGGTCCTATAAAGCAATTACTACAGATCCTCAAGTATGCTTCCCCCCCATTTTTATAAAGCAATACTCAAAGAGGAAAAAGGGAAAACTAATGAGAATCTTAGAAATAGTGGGGTAAACAATTCCCCATTATATATTGCATAACAGCTGAATTCACCAGGTGGCCATATGTAATTCACAAATGTGAAACATAGTCAGGACAAGGTTTGCTATGTCTGTACTGCATGACATACACTGTTGACTGATGCCACCAATATAACATCACTACTGCAAGGATATGCCATATTTGGTGGCTTGATCCGAGGTAGTTTAGTTGTCCTGGAAAGAAGGTAGAAAGAAAATAATATTGATTTCAGTAAGTTGACATTAAAAGAAAAATATATTTCTTGGATGTATGGCTTAGCAGCAGAAAAATTTTGGTAGTCTCAGAGTGCCAGTCTCAGTTAGTTAGAGACTAACTGGAGATCCAAATGTTTTTAAAAATGGATCAATTCATACATGGGTCAGTTTTAAGGTTTTATTTATTAAGTACACAGTAAACATTAGAAATGCTTTTCCAAGTGTGTTTTCAAAACCTAACTTAATTTCAGGAATTTGACCTTAATGCCTCCCACGTCTCAACTCATATTTGGCAGAATGAACAACAACAAAAAATTATTGAGAGGCAAAAGAAGCTAGATGTTATAAATCATGGGGTAATTTAGGTGTAAATTTGTGAGAAGCAGATATACTGTTGTGTTTAGATATAAATCTACCAGAGGCACTTTTTATTTCAAGCAGGTGTGCAAAGAAAAAGTGCTGACCTGAATCTTAAGCTCTCTAACTAATGGAATAATCTGCAGGATGTAATCAGTAATGGGTTAATTAACTAAGGTTGATCAGTTCATATACAACTTCAGAGAACAATTTAATCTCTTTGTGGTCAAATTTAAATTCTAAGATTAACATATGGAAATCTTGAGCTTTCAGTAAATAAAATACAGATTATAATAATTTCAATGAAAATAACATACTCATGGTGCTTCTATGGTTGTATAATGTAAATATTCTTGAACCTTTTTTTTTTTCTTACCAATCAGTACAGTACATAGATTTTAAAGTATATGTCAACAAGATTCTTAGCCTTTTTGTACCATGGACTCCTTTGGCAATCTAATGAAGCCTACAGACCTATATATTTTTAAAAAACAAAATATAGAGGATTCCAACAAATATTGATTATCTAATACAACTATCAGAGATCCACTCAATTCTAAACATGGACACCTTAGGGATCCTGGGACCCATCAAATGCCATTGTATTGTGTATACATTTGTAAACATTTGACCTGAGGTAAGTGAAAGCTTTTAGGTTAAAATTTATTTTATTTCCCAGTAGCGAAGTCATACCTGAGGACTTGCCAGAGATAGTTTCTAAGGTATTTATACATGAACATTTAAGACTATCACTTTTCACTGTAAAGACTTTAAATTTTTTCAGTTTCCTTATCTCCACTGCTCTCACGTACCTGAACTCAGGATGTTCTGCTACATGGGGCACATTTTATGTCAACTGTGTCTTGGGGAAGGTTAAGTTACAAAAAATTTGATTTTTTAGAGATGTTCTATATTAAACAATCGGTGACTCCTGATCTGTATATTTTAAGGCCTAAAACCACTATGTCATTAACACATAGAGAATTTTCATGTTTTAGTGTTCTACTTGTCTATTATAAAGAAAAAACAGAATTTTAAAAAGAATTATTAATAAAGTGATACAAAAATATGTTTTACCAGAATTGTTTTCTAAGGGAAATTCTGGCCCTACCAGGAAGATGGTTGGTCTTCAAATCAGCAGCATGTCCTAGATCTGTTCACAAATCCTCATGTTTACAACTCAGGTTTTCCCTTGTATTTCCATTCTTACTTAAAGCTCAGTGGTGGAAAACCAAGTACACAGAGGAATGCATGAGGATCTGTGGGATGCACCTAGGCCAGGGTTTCCATCCTTTCTTCCTCCCCAGCACACGTGACGAGTGGTACAATCCCTTCTCTGATTCACTGTGGAAGTGATTCTTAGCCCAGAAAGAAGAGGGGATAAATTTGCAGTTTAGATTTAAACTGCTCCCTGACTTCTAGCTCTCCAAACTGAAAAAATCAGTTTATGACTCTAAATGTTACTTCTGGCCCATGCCAAAACTCATCTAGATTTGCATCACTCTGTCCCTTACTAAGCCACATATTTCACTTATAAGACCAGGGCTGGGGGACATAGTAATAATTGCTATCATTCATTCAGTTCCTACTAATTGCTAGAAACTTTATTACATGTTATGTGCAGTTTCTCATCTAATCCTCGCTCAACTGTGTTACATGCATTTTCTCATCTAATCCTTACTATAACCCTAGGAAAAAAAAAGTATTTCCATGTTTTAGATAGGAAACGAGTTAAGAGTGCTTAAGTGACTTACTTAGCTCATGTAATGGGACTTGAACACAAGCAGTGTGACTCCAGAACTAAAGTTCTAAAACAAACAAATATGGGTTTTAGAGAATGTTGTTCACTCTATCCAGTGTCTGCTGAGTTATTTTCCATCAGAAAATATTTTCTTTGGACTGAAGAACAAAAAAAGTCTATTGGCTTGTGTATATGTTGGAAACATAAAGACTCTTAATTTTCACTATTTTCTTCCTAGTGCTGGGTGCCAGGAAGCCTAAAGCCAAGTTTGTCACCTTTATCTATTTTATAGATCCCTCTGATGTACATATTGTGAAGTGATCTTTTCACACTTGATTTCACTATTTTTTTTTTTTACTGTCCTTTGCTTTTCTTATTTCTTGCTTTATATATCTCTGCATATAAATTACTTTTAAAGAACCAATTGGCATATAAAGAAGTAAATTGTAGTTAATAGTGTTCCACTTTTTAAAAAAAATAGTGGTTGGGAATCAGAAGACTCAAAGTCTAATGTCAGCTTTGTCACTAGTTCATAACCATAAAACAGTGACAACTCCACCTACTGGACTCAATTTACATGGTAAGGATGAAAGATGAAAGGAAAAGTTGTGAAAGCCCTTTGAAAGTTTTAGGTAAGATTTGAGAAGAGAGGACCCATTTCCATAATCAATATTAAAAAATGAAACTAAGTTTTGATGATCTGATGCATATACCTTGGGCATATATATTTAGAATAACAATACAAAACTGCTTTAAAAGAGACACCTACCTGGAAAGTACCGCTCTGGGACTTTAGAAATGTAGAATAGGAAAGCAAGAAGAGCAATCATATACATCACAATTACACGGGGTGCAAAGTCCTGAAAAGCAAAACATATTTTTTCACAGATCTTCCTACTGTTACTGAATTACAAATTTATTATGAATCTAATAGTGGAATTTAAGATTGTTAAATCTGAATTATTTTGCAGATTGTCTCCAGTAATAGAAACCTTATTCTTATATGCTGGAAGCAATCTGCAAGAATGGAGTAAAGAGAATGCCCTAACGATCAGGCTTCTAAAGGGGCTAGAGCTTTAATATGCTGAAGTTCCTAAGGGCACCCAACTCCATCTACAATGTAGGTATATGGATGGAATGCATTTGGGAATGGAGTTGCCAGGTAAATAAGCAAAGACACTGAAGATGAGGAACTTATGGCTGGAAAAGACCTAAGGAGTCTACCCAAGACAGAAATCTGTTCCAATATCCCAGATAAATGGTCCTCTTGAACACTACTATATGAAGCACTTTGTCTCATTACTGATACAGTATTGAAAAGGCTTTCCTGGCCCTGAGGAAATCTAGCAAGCTATCCTTATACATATTGTTCCGAATACTGGTTATAAACCTAATTTACTGAGAACTCATTTAAGAAATAAGGACAGGCTGAGTGCATGGCTCATGCCTGTAATCTTACCACCTTGGGAGGCTTTGGCAGAAGCATCATTTGAGGACAGGGGTTCAACATTAGCCTGAGCAACATAGTAAGACTCCTATCTCTCTCTCTCTCTCTATATATATATATTTTTTTTGTAACTAGCCAGGCATGGTGGTGCACGCCTATAGTCCTAACTACTTGGGAGGCTGAGGTGGGAGGATTGCTTGAGCTGAGACCTTTGAGGTCGAGAGAGAGAGAGGGGAGAGGGGAGGGAGGGAGGGAGGGAGGGGGGAGAGAGAGAGAGAGAGAGAGAGAGAGAGAGAGAGAGAGAGAGAGATTGTTTCAAAGAAATAAAAAAATAAAAACAAATTTCTCCTTCCTCTTCAAATATGAGAATCATCATAGTCCTCCCTAACTTCTATATTTTTCAAATTAATCAATCTCAGATTTCTCAAACATTCTAGAACACAAATTGATCCTGCCTCCCAAGGTTAACCCTAAAGACCTTTTAATCTTTGGTTAAAGTGCCTGTCTTTCAGTCTTTGTTAAATTAGAGCTTACAGAATTTCTCTGTAAGTTTCCCTTTGCTTCCTCACTGGAATGATCTGTGATCATATTAGTGTTCCATCTTTGAAAACTATTATCTAAGCCATCTTTCAATTTTAAGATTTGTGAATACAAAAAAATTCCCATTTTTTTCTTAATTTCTCTAAAATTCACTTAGTGGGTCTTATTCTTTTTATCATTATAAGCGCAAAAGAAATGTGTTTATCACATCCAAAAATTTTGGTCACGTCTATATCAACAACTAATTATTCCAGTTGGAATTTATCTAGAGTGGCAGTTCCCCATTCCATTTGCTTATTATCAGGGAATCAAAATTGTCAGAAAGACGTTTTCACAGATAGGAGGATTACTGATATCCCTCACCACTACTGTCTCACCTTTCTCCCAATTTCCTTATTTATGAAGAAATCATCACCCTTGTCCTAAAATTGGACAAGTGGCCAGTTCCTATCGCTCAATTCACTGTCACAGAATTTCCTTTCTTTTCAGCTGTATACCCAACTGTTTTCCTCTATACTGTTGCCAACTTCATGCAAATAAATGTAAGCCCACTAATGATCCCTCTTCTTCTAGTAAAATCTGATTCTTTTGAATAAAACCCACCTTTAAAAACATTCTAGACAAAGGTCCCATTGCAACAAGTATATGTGATTTCTGTCGAGTTTCTTGGCTTATTTACTTGTATTAAAAATTCTCAAGTTTACTCTCTAGTGAATACTTAGAGCATTTTCATAACAATCTCTAAGAATGTAAGTCTTATTTCTAATCCTTATCTCAAGGATCCTGAGTTCTCACTGAGGCTCTTCCTAATGCACATCAACTGTTCCCCCACAATACCTGAATCTTATAAATAACTCTTCTTTTATTTCTCAACATATTTTCCTTGCTGGATTGAATATGCTTCCCTGGCTCCAGCTACCAATATAATGATGATTTCTAAATCTTTATTTCCAGTTTCAAACTCTGGCTGAAATCCCAGATCCTATCTCTACCTTTACATCGAACGGTACCCTAAACTCATCAGGTCCAACAAAAAAATCCTTTACAACCTCCCTTCACACCCTTTAAAAGATATTTGTTCCTACTTCTATACTTGCATTATCATTGCCATTATCACTGATTCAGCAGACAAAGCTAGAAACTTTAGAGTCTTCCTCCACAAATTAGGCCTTGGGTATTTATATATTAAGGGTAACAGAGGATAAGAATGTATTATTTTACAGAAAGACAACTCAGAGAAAAACATTATTTAGATTTTACCTCGACTTCTGCAAGGTATGCTTATTTACATGGCTGTGAAAATATGGCATCAATATGCAATTACAAATATGTTCTCAAATGCCAAACATCCACTCACTTGGCCTGATTATACTACTTTACCCAAAAGGAATAAAATTGAAAGACAAAAAAAAAAAGAGAGAAAAATATCAACTACATTCAACCTACCTGTACAATAGGAGCACCGATTCCTCCATTGAGCCAAACCCAATGAAGAGTGGGAATCACTCCATACCCCGAAACAGAACAAAAGATGATAGAACGGAGCCTTTGCCATTGCTGTGTGAGGTAATTGGGATGAATCTGCGCAAAGAACACTGCCAGGATCATAGCAAGCACTGTGATCAAGTACACCTGACGCCAGTACTAAAATGAAAGAAAATAAAATTTTAATTACATTATTAACATTAAGGGAACTGAAAATGTAATCCTGGCTTTTACATTACAAATTCCAAACTCTATTTACTCGGTATTTGCATTTCAAAACAGGATTATCCCCCTTCCTTAAAAAATATGTTCCATACAACGTTTAGGTTTCTCAGGATGACAAATCAAGTTCCAAAGTGAGCTGGTAAAAGATCACGTTTATCCATACAAAATCATTTTCTGATTACCTATTATGTGCCAGGCACAGTTCAAGTGCTGTAAAAGCAAAGATGACTACGACATGGACTCTCCCAGCAGTGAGCTCACAGACTATGGAAGGGGCAGACATGTAAACAAATGATTATAATCTTATGGTAGATATTGTAACTGCGTTAGGAACACAACATTGTAGAACCATAGAAGAGAGAACAGTTAACTTGACTTGGTAGCTAAACAATGCTTCATAGAGGAGATGACTTCTAAGACTTTGTGGGAAGACAGAGCTCTCAGGAAAGAGAACAGCAAATGCAGCAGGAAGTTTTGAGAAGAAAGGCTGAAAAGGCATACTCTAAGGCTAAATGTTTTGAACTTTACCATACTGGCACTGGAGGAATAGCAGAATTCTTTAAGAATAGTGTGACACAGCTGTTTTTCAAAAAAACTGACTTATTAGAAAGACAACTCTGACATCAGTGTAGAAAAAAGGTGACAGGAAACCAGCTAGAAAGATACTTGTTTATTCAAAGAGAGAATGGGGGCATGGACTCCTGTTTAATAAAGTTGATGTGAGCACCAGATTTAGGAGGCATTTTTGAAATAAGCTCCAGTCATAATGGCTGACTGGATGTGTGAGAGGACAGTAGAGGAAAGCTTGACTGTTTCTAGCCTGAAAGCCCACATAAATGGCTTCTATTAATGAAGCAAATGAACAAACATCTTTGTTTATTTGGTCCAGGTTTGGTGTGTGTGTGATGGGGGAAGAGAACAGGAGCATGAAAAAACACACACTTAGCTTAGGTTTGAAGGGCTTATGGGATATGTAGGTATTTAAATAAGCAGTTAGCTGGTCTTCAAGTCAAAAGTCACATAAGACAAGAGTTCTTAATCTGGGCTCCAAGGACTTCTTTGGGGATATTAACTTCCTAAAATCAAATGTCAGATTGTTTGTTTAGGTGTGTGCCTAAAAGTACATTCTACTGGATCTAGGGTCCATAGTTTTCAATTGTATTCTGAAAGCAGCTGTGTTCCTTAAAAGGTAAAATGAGCCTTTTATAGGTCTACAGCAACTGAATACTTGAAAATGATTAGAAACCAGAAGGAAGAAAGCAGTTTTTCCTCTAAACAATTATGGACTGACTGTATCAACTACAGTAGTTCCTTTATCTTTCTAATCTATCTTGGACTTTTAGTTTTTCTCATAAGAGATATACAAAAAGTATCTCACTTTGATGTTTAGCAAGAGATAAATGGAAAACAGTTCCAGACAAACACAGAGTAAGATAAGCAAAACAATTAAGAAATTACAAGCACCTGGTTATAAAGTATGTTCTAATTTTTTTAAAAGATGTAAACAGTTTCATGTGAAATGAGTAAGTTATGAAAGCTGAGCAGAAATAAATAGTATACTACTAAAATCAAGTCAATTTACAACAAGATTGCCTGCATATATACTTAATTATGTGCTTATGTTCCAAAGTGATTAGGCCTAAAAAGCAAATAGTTCACATTTAAGCAGCTGCAATTAATAATGCTCTTACATATTCAAATCAAATTTGTGATTTTTCTCTTCGCTAATTTTCATACCAGATATGTTGACAGTTTTCTCTGCTATTGTGTAGAGACAAAGGTCTACTGAAAAATCCCAAGCAATCTGAGGAATCCCACACTGTGGCCAATCTTCCCAGTAAATGAAGGCTGGGGACTGTGCCTTAGAGCAGTGGTCCCCAACCTTTCTGGCTCCAGGGACTGGTTTTGTGGAAGACAATTTTTCCATGAATTGTGCTGTGATGCAGGGGTGGGTAAGGCAAGGATGGTTTTGGGATAATTCAAGTATATTACATTTATCGTGCACTTTATTTCTATTATTATTACATTGTAATAATAATAATTATACAACTTACCATAATGCAGAATCGGTGGGAGCCCTGGGCTTATTTTCCTGCAACTAGACAGTCCTCATCTGGGGGTGATGGAAGACAGTAACAGATCATCAAGTATTAGATTCTCATAAGGAATGCACAACCTAAATCCTTTGCATGTGCAGTTCACAATGGGGTTCGCGCTCCTATGAGAATCTAATGCCGCTGATCTGACAGGAGCTGGAGCTCAGGTGGTAATTTGAGCGATGGGAAGTGACTGTAAATACTAAACTTCCCTTTTAAAGGGAAGCTTCCCTGTAAAAAGGAAACTTCCCTTGCTCGCCTGCTCACCTCCTGCTGTGTGGCCTTGTTCCTAACAGGCCACAGACAGGTTCTAGGGGCTGGTGATCCCTGCCTTACAGCACCTACTACATGGCGGGCCTTGGGCAGGACAGGTTCTATTCTTTGTGACTAGGACTAGAAATAAGTAGCAGGTATATTGCTCCTGAGGGAGAAGCTCAGTCTTGGTTCTGAAGGGGAGATAACTAGAAGGGCAAAAAAACCCACAAAGGTATGGTAGAAAAACAGGAGGAAAACAAAGTAGGGTCAAAGGGGACTTTCTGAAAGGGAGAACTTGAGATGTACTGAGCCCATGGGAACCTTCAATTTGTCTTCTTGGCTGGAACATGAGGTGATGAGTTAGGGGTTCTAATAAGGTTTGGTTGGCCAATATTTTCAGGTCAGGTGCTGTATTATCTGATTACAGTGTTGCAAATGCTGCTTTGCAAAAGACAAAAACTGACTTGTGTATGAACTTATGGACAGAAAGCAGAGTTGATCCAGAACTCAGAAAAGACACATCTTGCATTTGTTAAAGACATTCACCCCTATCTGGTCTGTCTTACAGGCCAACCCCTAAATGTAAGACTGAGGACAGGAAAACATTTTTTACAGAAGAATATGGGCTAATTCAGATATACTTTCATTTATTCTTTTTCACTGAGAGGAGGAAAAAGAAATGGAAAGCAGTAACCAACTTCATAATTTTAACAAGTATTATTTTTAACTTTAATTCTATAAACACACAAAAGATATATAATGTGCATATCTGAGGAACCATGCAGCCATACAGACTTAGTGAAAACATTAAAAATTTAATGTCTACAGTACGTTTCAGAAAATAACTGTATATATATTTTCCAACAGAAAATTAGTAAAATAAATATGGAACTGATAAAGAGATGTTAGAAATGACAGGGCCATTTTGAAAAATAAGTTTATGCTTATACAAGACTCTTCTATTTATTCTATAAGTTAATTATGTACTTATTCAGAAATTCAAAAGAACCAAGGCAAGAAAACCCAAGACCTATATGAAAGGTAGAATGTAAAATGTCTCAATCTACTTACGTTATTACAATAAAATGCATAAAATACTCCTGAGACATAGCAGCCCAGTATGCCAATAGAAATTCCTGCATAATCTAATGCCATCCATCTTCGACATGTTTTTTCTGACCGGTGGCAGGAAAAAAGATGATAGCCCACAGAGCAAAGCATACAGACCTGTGGAAAATAAAAAAAATCTTAACAAAGTGACTAAAGAAACCAAAGCAACTTATGCATAATGATCAGGGAAATAGTTAAGAGGCTAGGCTTTCTTTTTTTTTTTTTTTTTTTTGAGACGGAGTTTCGCTCTTGTTTACCCAGGCTGGAGTGCAATGGCGCGATCTCGGCTCACCGCAACCTCCGCCTCCTGGGTTCAGGCAATTCTCCTGCCTCAGCCTCCTGAGTAGCTGGGATTACAGGCACGCGCCACAGTGCCCAGCTAAGTTTTTGTATTTTTAGTAGAGACGGGGTTTCACCATGCTGACCAGTATGGTCTCGATCTCTTGACCTCGTGATCCACCCGCCTCGGCCTCCCAAAGTGCTGGGATTACAGGCGTGAGCCACCGCGCCCGGCCCCGAGGCTAGGCTTTCAATTCAAACATTTATGGGCTTGGATTCTATCTCTGTGGCTTATAGTAGAGCAAGCCATGTCATTACTCTAATGCCTCAATTCCCTCATGGGGAAACGGAGATAATAATAATGAAAGAGAAAAGTTAAAATAACTAGATTATAAAATGAAAATTATAAATAAATAGCACAGTAATGGGAAAGTTAAACAACACAAATGTTTTAAAACTATCATCTGAGGCTTGTTTTGATCCATGAATTCATTTCTTTTTAAAGAGTATTTATTATATTTCTAGACACAGGTCAAAAAAAAAAAAAAAAAAGAAGAAGAGTATTTACTATAGAAGCAAAACATATCCTTAAAAAAAATCAAAGAATATAAATATAAGACCCTGTCACTCAATCTATTCCCCAGAAGTAGCCACTGTTAACGTTTGTTGTGTCTTTCCAGATATTTTCAAGACATATGTCAAACACCTGTGATATATTAGTCTACACATATGCACACATGATAAGTATATATACATACACATTTTAAAATTAAATGAAATCACACTATGTGTTCTGTTCCACAAATTTGCTTTTTTTCATTTAAGAATTTTCATGTCTGTCTGAGATTCATTGTATAGAGTTTACTTTATAGTTCTAAGGTAAATACAGCTTTACTGCCTTCAAGAAAAAACAGGCCAGTGTTATAGTGGCTCATGCCTGTAACCCCAGCATTTTGAAAGGCCATGGTGGGAGGATCACTTGAGCATAGGAGTTTGAGACCAGCCTGGGCAACATAGGGAGACCTCATTTCTACAAAAAATAAAAAATTAGCTGGGCATGGTGGCATGTGCCTGTGGTTCCAGCTACTTGGGGGGCTAAGGCAGGAGGATTGCTTGAGCCTGGGAGATCGAGGCTGCGGCAAGCCGTGACTGCACCACTATGCTCCAGCTTGAGTGACAGAGTGAGACCCTGTCTCAAAAAATATTAATAATAATTTTTTAAAAATCATGACTTGCTAACTTTATATGGTTGCCACACTGAAAGTAAAGCTAATCTGATTCAATCAGCTGCTCTGATAGTTGATAAGGTTTCTATGGCAGAATGCCTTTCAGCCATCAAGTATCTGCTGTGTGTCATACATTGGATGGGATACAGAATCACTGAACAAACAGTACAGTAAGAAGTCCTTCTAGACTTCAGTGCAGAGCATAATTGGAAAAGGAGGGAGAATATTGACTCTGTGGGAGTACATGTGCATTTGGAAGATGGGACTGGTGGAAAGAAAAGAGTATCAGAGAAGGGCTTTTCACTGAGCTGGATTTTAAACGTTGAGCTGGCATTCACCAAGGACATAAAAAAAAGGTGTGCACGTTTATGGTGGGGGGTTGGGAATTAAGGAAAAGCATCATATTCTTTTATTATGACATGTCCTATACATTAATGGGTTTTAACTTCAATATTATAGGTAAGATATGATACTCCTGAAGATTTTAAGTGCCCCCTTACAGAGGTGTGGACTAGAAGGGCTGAAACAGGAGGTTATAGGAATAGCCTTGGAGAGCACATACTGAGACAATGACAGTGGGGGTGGAGACAATGGGACAAATAAACAATATGAAGTAGGTACAATTGATAAACATTTTGTAAACAATTGCTAAGGCAGTAAAATGGTCAAATAGCTATTAATATTTTATATTCTGGTCATTAAACAAATCTAGTTACTATAGACTCAATTATCAATATTCAATAATAATGTACTTTGTCACAACTTCATTGCATCATCGTCTAAAATCCTTAATTATCTATAGTTTTTTGGTTACTAAGCAACCAATCAATAGCTAACTCTAAGTTAGTTATTTAAACATAACTCTAAGAAGCTTGGTTATTTGTTTTCTCAGATTATCCTTGATATTAAGCACCACAAATCAGGAGAACATGAAGGTATATACTCTCATTGATGGGGAAAGATCCCATTGCCACAATGTTGAATGACACAAGAGCAGGTCACAAAATAGCAAGCAGGGATGACTGTAGTGTAGAAGTAGGTAGACAGGTAACTGAGTGGGCAGGTAGGCAGGTGCAAGATAGCTATGCTTACACAAACATACACATTTGGGTTAAACTCGTTTAACGCAAATGTCCAATGTGAATACCTCTGAAAAGTGGAATTTCAAGTGATTTTTTTCTTCCATAAATTTGTTTGCTTAAATTTCTACATGATTATATCTTGCAGTAGTAATTAGAAACAAAAATAAAGCTAATTTCATTGTGAAAAAGAAAAAGAAGAAAAACTACGGTATCTAAGTAAAATAAAAAATAAATAGTGTTAACAGAAAACTCCAGGTTTTAAAAGTTAACCCATACCTAGTATGCCCTGTTTAAGAAGGAATGTGTTATTTTTAGAGTTCCTTTAAAAATGGACTGAAAGAAATCTGGCAAATTGGGTATGTTTCAGTTATAATGGAAAGTTCCCTTCTATGGAGACAAAGCAGACAGATAATTACAGTGTTACATTCCATATCTAAGCTCCTTGCATGCTAACAAAATACCTCATGGTTTGATCCCTGTCAATCACTCCAGCCTTATCTCTCTCATTCTCCTAGGTTTCAACCACAAAAACCAGCACCTGCAAGTCCAGAAAGTGCTAAGAAAGTAAGTCTTGCTTCTTTTTTCTGCTTAAATGCCCTGCCTCACTGTCTCTTTTGCTCTTCTACGAGTGGCTTGACCTTAATACCAAGTTGGTTCTGTTTAGCACTGTTTTACTGATGCCTAGCATAATGTCTGGATGTATACAGGACACATTCAACAAGTATTTGTTCACTGAATGTAAATGGATTAAATCTAGTGAAAGGCATTATTGTTCTAAAGTTCTTCTCCAAAATACAAATGCCCCAGGAAGGTTCAAAGCCCCTAAATTACATTCTCTTGTTCGGAATGTACTCTGTTAATCTGGTTGAGAGGAAACCACTAAGGCACATAGAAGCACAGGAGTTACAAAAATGTTATATCTTTTAATATTAAACGTAAATCAATATTAATTAATGTATTTATGGTTTACTGGACTGTCCATTGACCCTAAGAATCTGGAGAACTCAGGTGAACAAGTTATAATTTGATAAAAAGAAGTGGTCTTTTTCAAGTAGGGAAGATGTGCTCATTTGTCTTTAGTAAGTTGTACAGCATGAATGATAACAATAATCATTACACTAGCAATTAGGAGAACAGGATCTTACTACCCTGCTGAATAATCCTGGGCAAGTCACTGTAATACTTTGGCTCTATTTCTTTATTGGCAATTGCTGTCATTATTTAATCCTTTTAGTTTTGCAATGTATTGTTTTATTAGGTCAATATCGAAATTAATATATTCTCTGAACTAACATCAGCTGTGGCAGGTGGTGAAGGCATGAAGAATAGGCCTAGGGATAGTGGAAAAGAGCAGGGATTCTCAGAGTAGATACTATGCATACAACTAACAAGAATATAAGCTAGCTACTTTTAACTTAATGATTATTAAGAGCATGTTAATCTATACTGAGATACACCTAAAAATTAACTAAAAAGAAATTGCTTCATTTCCATTAGAAAATTCGTTATGGATTGTAAGGAATATTTTTAGCTAGAATCAGGACAAAAATTAGACCTCAGAGAGTGTATTTTTAAAAAATATTTGAAGAAAAAATAATTTTCTAATAAAAATAGATTATGCTTTCCCTCAAAGAAAATTAAAATATTATTCTAAAACCTGAAATTAGAAAAGGGGAAAAGAGATTCTTTTTTTGTTTTTTGCTGTGTTTCTTGGTCATTTAGGTCCAAAGTTTAAACTTGAGTAAAATGATGACACTCCGAAATAAAATAATATACAATGAAAGCAACATCTGTACAGCTGAGTTATAAGGTTCTCCTCTCAAACTCAGCAGCAACAGGCTAACTGCAGGGAATGCTAGTCTGTGTCTGTCATGAGAAAGGGGGATAAAAAGTTTGTTTTTCTTTTCATATGTATGTTTCTCTATATTCTCTGCATTAAAAAAAAAGTTGATTTATGTCGGTAGGACTATGGCCCATATTTGTTTTCTTCTTGAAAATTATCTGTTTGAAATCCACTAAATGTAACTTTTAAAGACATTTTTACAGATTCTTAAAAAATGCCAGTGCTATGGAACTAACAAATATAAGAGGTAGAGAGGAAAAGAAAAGGAATGTATTTGAAGCCAGGCAAATGGGTTCAAAGGAAATTAACATTAAAGCAACAGAACAAAAAAATCAATACCAGCAAAACAGGATAGTAAAATGCAGTATGGAAATAACAAATACAAAAATAACAGACGCAAACAGGAAAGAGATGAAAAATCTTCCCAAACAAGATTTAAGTAGACACTAGTGTTGTACTTAAGCCAGATAATAGAATGCAATCAAAGATTCCAATTTTTTAAATTAATCTCAAAGCAGAGGTGCCCAAAAAGAAGAGGAAAGAAACAAGTTTTTCTCAATCTTTGTAATTTAATGGATTTCAAACATACTCTTATAAGAACAGACTGTTTTGGTGTTTAGGTTATGGAAATGAATACGCTTGACCTACATGCCATTCTGGGGCTCTTAAAGTAAGTGGAAGGTTTGAGGTAAGGTCACCTAACCAAGCCTGCCTGACGAAAGTTCTGTTTACCAATAGCAGTATTTGTGAAATGACTTACCTGGAAGCAGAACAGACAAATAGAACAAATTACAAAATCTTCTCTAGACGCACTTGCTGAAGGTAACACAGATGTCATGTCATATATTCCCAGGGTGAAGAAGAGAAAGAAACCCAGCAAATGACTCCAGATGTTTACTGTCTCGTTAGATAAAATAAACAAACTGGAAAATAAACAAACATGGAACTGAGATTCACACTGGCCAACTTACTGTCACATTCAAAGGTTAGGGACAATTTTGAGGAGTTACCTAATACTTGCTCCTTTAAGCTCTTACCCCACCTGTACCTTTCTAAGTTAGATATAAAATCTAATTAAATTATTCTAAGTTTTTCCACATCTCCACCAATCCCGGGACCACAGTTTTTTGGGTGCTCACTTCTATTATCATACTTACCATTTCCTTCTCTGTATTAACAGATTTACATATAAATTCCATCTCATCTTCCAGCCTATCAACTCCCCCTAATGGTCAGTACCATTCATCTTTATGACACCACTGTTCACAATGCCTTGCTCAGCTTAGTCTATGGACTAAAAGTCTCCAGAAATGAATGCGTAGAGGAAATCTGGATGTTAGCTAGCATATTCTATCAATAATATGTATCTGAAAACCTGGTCAGTGCAAGGTTAGGGATGAACTTGAAATACTTTCTTAGAATTCATTAAATACAAATGCAAAAGTAAACAGACGTAAGAGAAGCAAAATAAATATATATTGATCCATTGGAAAGGTTCAAGATAAGCATGATGGAACAACTTTGCTGTGGATGTTTTAAAACCAATCTAGTTTCTAGGTGGCATAAGTTTCTCCTTTTTAGAAACAACAGAACTTTACTTTTAATATGGGTACTATGTGCCCTCTTTCAAAATGCTCTGGCTAACCTGTCTTGGCAGCACAGGCTGTTGGATAGCGAACCAATCCCAGTCAAGAGACTCACTGTCTCTACCACACACAAGTCACTTAACCTCTCTGGGCTTCAGTTCCTTCATCTATAAAGTCATGGAGCTATATTAGATGCTGCTGCAAGTTTCTTGCAGCTCCTTTCTTACTTCTATGAAATGGTTCTCCAGATGTGGATAGGACTCATCAGATTATTTACTGAAAGGTGATATCATGACTAAAGATTAAAATACTCTTGCATTTGTCTGTAAAACATAGTATTTTTGCCTAAATTTAGGATTTTGGCCTTCTCTGATTCAGAAATCCTTGTCAGTAATCACTGACATGTAACTCTAAATTTGTAGCAGTCACTACGGTTCTTTCTCATTTGTACAAAAAATGGAATTTCCTACTTATTTTGCTTCTCTTAAGTTCATTTCTTATAAAAATGAAAGTGAGAAACATAGTGTCCGCTACAAATTTAGTTATGTGTCAATACTTACTAGTAAGGATATCTGAATCAGTGAAGGCCAAATACATGATGTACATAGCAAGTTGTCAAAACTATCAAATGATCATCAAGAATAAAGTGAATCTTGGATCATGAATTTCAGGCTTTATCATGTACAAGCATCAAGTGTAAAGACAACTTATAAGTGGGGGAAGGGATACACAAATGTGCTTGAAACAACTAACTACAGGACTGTTTTGACAGTCAATACTATGCTCTGCCTATTACCTCAGAAGTTTTCATTTTTTGACATCCAGTATAACCTAACTGAACTGAGAGGCACAACCTTACTATGTTCCTTGCAGCTAACAGAGGATTGGCAAAACTGCTAGGACATACAAAACCTCCTCAGATTACATCCAAAATCTGTCCCAGTCACTCCTGAAAGCCAAAAGGAGAGAGGAGGCCAAAGCCTGAACCAGGAAAAGATAAAGCTGGTGGGAAGGCAAGAACATCTCCAATAAAGAATCTACTCTTACTGGAAGAAAAGTTAGGTGCCTCGCCTAACAGATGTAGCTTAAGCATACTCTGAGAATGACCTTATATGGAAAACACACTTGAATGTGTGTTTACAGTTCCAACCACCGCCAACCCTTAGATCCATTCCTTATCTATGAAGAACATCTGAGCCCCTGTCCCATCTCAAATGCTGACTGTACATGGGATGGAGGCCTTTTGTTTTGTAAATGAAGATTACCAGGTGTAGGTTGTTGGGGGAAAGGTGCTAAGTAAAAATGCCATATAGATTGCATGCTTTCTTCAGGTGGCAGAGGTTCTCCTGTCCAGCCCACTGCCACTGGACCTGTCTGCAAATCACCCTAGTAAAACCCTATGTCTTGTTTACTGGCTTTGGGTCTCTTCTTCCGTTTTTCAAACCTGGTGCTTTCCCTACTGAAGTTAATAGGAATTAACAGCACCACATCTTAGTATTCTGTTCAGTTTTAAAATCAATAATCATCTTCATTATCATCATCTGTTCAGCTTCAAAATCATTGGTGACGACAACAATCACCATTTATTGAGGGCTTATTAGGTCCCAGGCCATGTATAGCGTTTTATATACAGAATCTCATTGAATCCTTTTAACCTCTGGAAGCAGATACTGTGACTACCTTCATTTTTACATGTGGGTATAATGAGGCTCAGTGAGGTAACATTTTGCTCCAGGTCCCAGAGCTGTTAAGTGGCAGATTTGGATACTAAAGTCTTTGACTTAACAGCTCAAGATCTAATGCTCTATACTTCGTTTTCCACTTTATGAGATTCAGACCCTAACATCAGAATGCAGAGGACCACTGCTAGTGGGTAGAAAATATTTAAGGCAATTCACTGCTTGCCCTATTCTTGTGGAACCCCAGATCCAAAGCAGAACCCAGCTGTCTAATTACTCATGCACAGGAGGCATTGGGGAGGAAAAGGGTAATCACGCTTCAAGTTGTGAATCCTAAGGGCCATCCATTCAAGCCAAGTAGGGATGGGCAGTGATGTCACCTTGTGACCATGAGTCACAGAACACTTTCATGGCAGGACAAAAGGAAAGAAGGATAGGAAAAGACAATGCTGGAAAAATCAAGAATGAGACATGTGGTTGCTGCTTAAGCAATGCAACAGCCCACATTCTGGCACTAGGGTTTGCCACTATAGTGACCTGGAGCTAACCAACATCTGTATCTTAATTTTCCTAAAGCAGAGGTCTTGTATTTTAGTACAGTGAGTTTGGACTGAGTTGCTCCAAGAACTAGAATATTTTTCCGTTTTGTTTTTTTAAACATAAGTTTTCAAGGGACTGTGGTTTTAAAGGTTTAGAATGATAAATAAATTTCTTTCTTAGAGATGCTTCTGTGGTGCTCTAGTGGAGGCTGGGTGCCCGTTATGGGCTCTCTTTACCACAGTGGTTTTCTTACGCAGCATTTTTTCCACATGGTTATTATGTAATTGTTCAATTCTCTCTTTAATGTCTGTCACCCAGGCTACACCTTAGTAGCTTCATGAGAACAAGGGCCAAGTCGGCTTTCTTTTCAGCATGGGCTCCATAAGTATTTGTTAAATGAGTAAGTCTCGGGTGTATACATTAACTTGTTTTCTATTATACAGGCATTTATCTGGCCTAAAGCAACTGAATTCCCACAGTGCTGCTCTAAAAAGAAAGCAGAGCTTAGATATACACTGGGCAAATGTGGCTCAGCCTCATTCTAACATATATCTCAATGAGCTGGACAAACCGAATAAAGGATGTAAAAGCCCTTTGTAAGCAACAAAGCGACATAGGAAAGTTATAATTATGATGATTGTTACTATCATGATTGACAGGTGGATCAAATACCCCGGCTAGGTAAGGGAGATAAAGGGGGAGAAGAGGAAGCAAAAAGGGATGAAAAGGATGGGGCAGCGGGGAAATAATGGGTAAGTAGAAAGGCGGGGAAAGCGGCAGGGGGACCAGACAAAAGGGTGTAGGTGAGAGAAGGGGGCACGCCAGGCGGAGGCGGCCAGACCGTACCTTTTGATACACAGCCTGGACGGCAGGTAGGCCCGGTAGCCGTCGGTGATGTACGGGTTGTCCTTGAGGGACACGGGGATCTGCTCATAAGTGTACAGGCGGATGCCACGGGGCACCAGGACAGGCCAGTACTGGTAGCTGCCCAGCTCGATGTAATGCGCGCTCTTCAGCAGCTTCTGATGCATCGTTCCCAGCTGCCGCCGCTCCCAGGCTCGGGAGCTCGCCCAGGCCCCGCCTCCCCGGGGAGGGGGCTTCACCGCTGGAGCCCCCGCCCCGGAGCCCGCGGACACTGCGCGAGGTCCTACCGCGCCGCTTCTGCCCAGAGCTGGGATCCGCTCACACACCGGCCTCAGCCGTCAGCGCTGCGGCGGGCCCGGCGGCGTCGCAGCTTCTTCTGACGTCAGCGCGCCGCGGAGGTCCTGCCCCTCAGCCCTCTCTGGGTAGGGAGAGAGCGTGCTCTCGTGGCTGCCTGAGCGCCCGCGCGTCTCTAGCGATGTGGTTTGGCGGCGCCCGGGGTCTTCGTTTGCCTGTGAGAAAAGCCGAAAGCATAGAGCTACAGGAGAGTAAAAGTAGATTTTTTTTCTTTTTCCGTTTTTTATTAGAAGTAATAATTGCTGCATTTTGAAAAATCAAGAGGAAAAGAGTTAACAGGAAGAAAAGTTCGAGGTAATTACCATTTAGTTTATGCTTGTAATTACACCCACTTAGTGTCAGAAGGGACCTTTGAGGTTTTCAGAGCTGAAGGCAGCTCTTAGCAGGATAGTTGGAAAGAGAAAACCTTGATGCACGTGGAACATACACCAGCACTGAGCACATCCCGAGCCATCAGGAAAGCCCCGCGTAGTCAAAACACAGACCCCATTCAGCGTGTGTTCTCTGACCACAGTAGAATTAAACTAGAGTGACAAGACAACTAAATATCTCCACACCTGGAATCGGATCAATACCCCAAATATTTCAAGGGCTGATGAAGAAATCGCAATAGAAATGAAAAAATCTACTTAACTGAATAATAAAGATAGAACATATCTTTAAAAATCCTGTGGAGTGCGGCCATAGGTTTAGAGGAAATGTTATAGCTTTGTTTCTGGCTATGTATTGTGATACATATGTTTAGTTATAATGGCAACAGGGTAAAAACGGTGGCTCAAGCCTGTAATCCCAGCACTTTGGGAGGCCGAGACGGGTGGATCACAAGGTCAACAGATCGAGACCATTCTGGTCAACATGGTGAAACCCCGTCTCTATTAAAAATACAAAAAAAAAAAAAAAAAAAAAAAATAGCTGGGCACAGTGGCGCGTGCCTGTAATCCCAGCTACTCGGGAGGCTGAGGCAGGAGAATTGCCTGAACCCAGGAGGCGGAGGTTGCGGTGAGCGGGGATGGCGCCATTGCACTCCAGCCTGGGTAACAAGAGCGAAACTCCGTCTCAAACAAAAAACCAAAAAAACACCAGTTTGAGTACTGTATGTTTAATAGAACCCTTAGCCCATAGTTTGGCACAGTAAGGGCATTAAAAATAATCTTGTCCTCATTCATCACAAGGTTCACAGCTGACATTTTTATGAAAAAGAGAGAAGCCGGGCGCAGGTGGCTCACGCCTGTAATCCCAACATTTTGAAAGGCCAAGGCAGGCGGGTCGCTTGTGCCCAGGAGTTTGAGACCAGCCTGGGTAACATAGTGAGACCCTGTATCTACAAAAAAAGTACGAAAATTAGTCGAGTGTGGTGATAGGCGCCTGTAGTCCCAGCTATTTTGGGATGAGACGAGAAGATTGGTTGAGCCTGGGAGTCGAGGCTGCAAGTGAGCCGTGTTTGTGTCACTGCACTCCAGTCTGGGTGACAAAGCGAGACCTTGTGTCAAAAATAAGTAATAAAAATTAACAAGAAAAGGCATAAAACACATTTATTTAATAAAGTTTTATGTGACAGAGGAGTCTTCAGAAATGAAGACACAAAGACCCAGGAGAAATGGTCTCTTTATGGTAAGTCTGATGAAAGGAGTGGATAGTTTTGGTGAAACATGATTGGACAAAAGGGGCATCATCTAATGATAATAAACTGAGAGGAGAGCCTAGCAAGGTCAGTTTATTCAAATTCTTGGCCTCTGAGTATAGGGCAGGAACTCTCTAGAATGAGGGTTTTATGACCTAGTTTCAGGTGAGGTCAGCCAGAGAATTTTTTTGTGACCATACTTCACACAGAAACTTAGGGAAGGTCAGAAAGTAACCTTACAAGATTTTTATTTTTATTTTTGTGAGACAGTCTCTCTCTGACTTGCAGGCTGGAGCGCTGTGGTGCATCTTGGCTCACACAACCTCCACCTCCGGGGTAGAAGTGATTCTCCTGCCTCAGCATCCCGAGTAGCTGGGATTACAGGCGCCCACCACCAGGCCTGGCTGAGTTTTGTATTTTTAGTAGAGATAGGGTTTCACCATGTTGAACAGGCTCTTCTCAAACTCCTGACCTCAAACAATCCACCTGCCTCAGCCTCCCAAAGTGCTGGGATTACAGGTGTGAGCCACCGTGCCTGACCCCCCTTACTAAGTTTTATGGCTTGCTGTGGGGAGAGGAATTCTAAGTTCTAAGACCCACTTGGGGAGACCAGAGAAAGGAAGAGAGGAAGACAGAAATAAGTTCAGAGAGACCTTCTTCGGAGACCTTCCCAGTTTCCTTCAGTTTAAAGTACTCAGCATGTCAAAGGACCAAACTTTGAGGTGTGGTGTTCTGAACCCTGACACCACACAATAATCACTCATAATACCTATTATTATTATGCTAGTAATATTGGTTGATTTTTGAGAAGCAGTATGGCTTAGTGATTAAGATCTTGGACTTTGAAGTGATTTACCCAAGTTCGAATTTCTGTTCAATCATTTACTAACTATTAATGCATGTCCTTGTGCAGGTAACCTCTCTGATCCTCAGTTTTCTTGTTGGTAGAATAAGACTAATAGTACTTTGTGTTGTTGAGGATTAAATGACTAAATCCATGTAACAGTCTTAGAAAAGTACCAGACATATTGTTAGTACTTAAAAAATGTGAGCTAAATAGAGAATTCAAGAAAAAAATAATCAATAAAACTGGAAAGGTAAATTGAGGTTTATCCTAAATGGACTTAAATGTGATATGAAGGAAGTGAGACTTATTTTTTAAGTAATGGAGCTAAAAATAATGTTTGAGAATTTACCACATGCTCAGTTCATTGTCTCTGCTGAAGGTTACTGGGTACAGAAATTCTTATTTCCTACTGTGGGACGATCTTGCCTGAGAATGCCTGCCTGGCGCTCCTACAGACCTCTTATAGCAGGTTTCTTCTGCATGTATTTCTTGCTGGTACCATATGATACTACCTTGAGGCTATTGCTGACCCAAAAGTAGATCAGTAGTCCATGACATGCAATGGTACAAATGTCCATTCAAGAACAATGGTAATTAGTTTGACCAATCAGTTACTTCCTTAGGAATTTGACCTGGAGATACGGGAAGAGAATCCGTATCTCCTGATACGGATAGCCTGATATTTGGAACAAAGTAGAAAGATGCCTAGAGGTTATCAGCACAGTGAAAGTAGCTGAGTTATGGTAATGATGAGACAGTAGAGTAAAAAACTAAAAATGGGAACTGCTTTGGTCTTCCGCAGTGTAACCATGAAATCTTTTGCAAAATGACTTCTGGATTGATTTCAACAATTTATGGCTGATTTCAGTTCTCCCTAGTCCATTTACATGATTTAACTTTTCAGTGAAGCACTCTTTAACACCAAGCACTGAACCACTTATGAAATGCATCAACAAATATGACAAGGTAGATATAGCAACAATCCATGCCCGAGTCCTAGAGTGAGAAAGAGATCTATGAGTAAAAAAACCAAAATATTAGAAATGGAAAGACCTTTCCCACTCAAGTCTATAAGACAATGGAAGCAGGAGCAACACTGCTTTGGGATACCTCTAGCAGAGGGTGACACAAGGATGAGAGGGCCTATTTCTCCACAGATTACTATGACACTGTGGCACTTCGAGGGCTCTGGCTGTTTAGTCATGATGCTTGGCAGAGATCTTCAGCAGCATATATGGTGGAAGAAAAAAACTTGTTGATGCACTTGGTGAGGAACCAGCACCTGTGATAGATGGGGATTAACAGCATTCAGCAGGAGATCTTGGTGCCTCTTGAAGTGGCAGAATGGGGAACTAAACTGTCCAGTCAGAGATAATTAGAAAATGGCAGCACCCTATCATGAACACCTGTGAGACAAATCCTGGATTTTAGAGATGCTTGAGGTGGTATGGATGGGAAAGGGATGAAGTTCTCAAGGAGCTGAAGTCCTGAATTTCCAAGTGGGAGCAGAAACCCAGGGACAGGAGACATGGGGGCTGAATAAGGCCTTTGGGATGAAATAGATCCTCCCCTCCCCTCCCCTTACTTCCCTTCCCTTCCCTTCCCTCCCTCCCCTTTCTTCCCTCTCCTTCCCCTCTTGTCCCTTTCCCTCTCCTCCCTTTCCCCTCTCCCTCTCCTCCCCCTCCCCTTCTCCTCCCCTCCCCCTCTCCTCCCCTTCCCTTCCCCTCTCCTTCCCCTCTCCTCCCCTCCCGTTCCTCTCCCCTCCCCCTCTCCTACCCCTCTTCTACCCTTCCCTCCCCCTCTCCTTCCCCTCCTTCTCCCCTCCCCTTCTCCTATCCTTCCTTCTCCCCTCCTTCCCCCTTTCCCCTCCCCTCCCCCTCCCCTCTCCTCCCCCACTCCCTCTTCCCCTCTCCTCCCCCTCCTCTCCTCTTCCCTTTCTTGTTCTTTTTGTATTTTTAATAATTCAAACAATGTTGGAGTAAGATTTGCAGGTATTGGAGTGTCCACAACACAGAATTTTATGTTTACTGAATTCTGACAATGTGCCACACATTTTCCTACATGCTAATAGAGATGAATAAGACAAGTTTTAGACAACAACTGTTGCAAATCTCAGCAGTACTGACATTTTGATCACTCTACTATTGAACTCTCTTTTCTGAACTTTTGGGATCACCCTCACCTGGACTCTTTTCCTTATCTTTCTGGCCTAAGTCCCAGGGGATTTTATAGCCAGTATTTCTCTGGCTGATCCTTCAATCAGAATGTTTTCAGAATTTCTTCTTCAGTGTCTTAAATTCTATTTTTTCTCTTTATATTTACATGGCTTCAGTTACTATCTTTTTCAGGCCAGATCTCCTTTCTATTCATCTGGATTTGCATGTAGAGCTGAACATAGAAACCTGAAATATTAAAAATGAACTATTGTATTTACTCCTAAATTTATTTACATCTCTAAATCCCTATTTACTCAGCCTCTTAAGCCAAACACCTTGTAGTCATCTCTTCCCTTGGCCCCATTTTATCAGTAACCTCCTTTGCTTCCTTTCCCATC